TGCTAGATTCCTATTGGCTATTTCAATTTGCAATAGCCAATAGCAAACTAGCTATTGTACCCGCCCTCTGCTGATGTCAATAAGTAGTGGTGTACCTGATGGAGAACTGCATGTGCAACAATCCAAAATTAATGCAAATCCAAATTAAATAATCCAAAATGGCAGAGTTAAGAATAGGGTGATCAGGGCAATCAGGGGTGCCGTACCTTTCCAAGAGCAATTTGGTAACCAATCGCTGGCCAGAATGAGCGAAGTGTGCTTTCACTATCGATTCCTCACAGGCAGAGTGCATTTGTTATCACTCCGCCTGTGACAGGAGCCAGGGCTATAGAGGATGCATTGGCTTATGCGGCTCTGCTCCCTCCGCTGCCGCCTTCGCTTCCTCTAGCGTTCCCCCTTATGCCACCACCAGCCCTGGGAAAGGTCACAACTAGGTCTTATTTTCAGGGCAGGTCTTATATTTTAGCAATTCCCAAAAATAGAAGTAGGTCTTATTTTCGGGATAGGTCTTATTTTCGGGGAAACAGGGTACTTATGTTTGCCATGGTCCCTGTGTGTGTTGTAAAGTAGCCACTGCTCCAAGCTCGCTCCTGTGATGGACTACAATCTAAATACAAATTAGTAAACATGAGATTGTAGTCCATCAGGGGAGCGACCTTGGAGTGGTGACTACTTTACAACACACACAGGGACCATGGGGAACAAAAGTAGCCACCCTCCAGAAGGAAGGACAGTGTCAGCACCAATTCAGAGATAATTTGAGGACCTATAAGGTCAGTGATGTCAGCACACGAATCCTGCCCCTTTGTTTATGTGCAGCTGTGGGCAGGAAATGCCCTGGCCCGCACCTGATTAGATGGGTGGCCCTTTGTCCCTTCCAGATTCAGAGGAGCTCAGTTTCATACTGAACCAGGTCCAAGCTAGAGATCATCTTCATTTACACATTTGGCAATGTGTCAGCCAGAAGCAAAATCTGCCTCAATACTGGTAAAACTGCAGATGTCCTTTAAGGAGTAACTGGTTGGCCAGGAGCTTGCTCTTTAACTTCTAGGAGAAGACAGATCAACTTGGGGTCTGAGCAAAGAACAGAAGAGCATACTGCAACTCAACTTAATAGGTTCACAAATTTAAGAGATGGATATGAGGCAACAGCATAATAACTGACATCTGTTCAGTCACTTGGAAGTTGTCCTGAGTGAAGATAAATCAGCTAAATCCTCAACACTGAAATAATTAAACTAGTGCTCTTTCATTTGCAAGACTGATGCATCTCACAAATATGTGTAGAAAATCTGGCAGACCAAGAATTAAATGTGTTACCCATCTCTGTTGTATTACAGCGGTGAATTAAAGATTTATACTAATTATAATCACACATTAACACTAGCAAAAACAAATGTAACTCTCTGGACAATATATAATGTGCCCCTTATTTGAATGTACAGCTACAATATAACTTCTTTAGTATCGGTTAAACTTGACACACTGCATAAAACACTACTGTCAAGGTTGAATTAGATCAACAATCTTGTGTGGTCATTTAGAGACAAAGCCAAAAATGCACAAGATATGCATTTAAGAATAAATAGTATATTGCCTAGAAACATTCTATTAACTTAGTTCACAGAAATTCTCTAACGTCTCTCGATGCTAGTAGTATTTTGAATAAGTGTGTTGTTTTGCAGTTTTGTGCAGTTTGTCAGGATGCTATAAAACACTAAAATAACACGTGTATAAAAGACCATTCATTCTATCCACGTTGCAGACATGGTGGTAGAAAAAAGGCTCAATTCATAGACAGAAAATCATATGGAGTATGCATAGTACATTCTGGCTTTTCGCAGAGCAGTCTAAATTTCAGAAGCATAATGTCTTGCTGACTGCTCAGAGGCGTGAGTGGAAAGACTCCAGTACAACTATCAAAGCTAAACTGCCGTCATTTTCCTGAGCAATTACTTCAAATCTTTTTTCGGTTTTCCACAATACTGGGAACTGATTGTCAGCCTGACAAACTAAAGTGAATATGTCTGAAAATAAACTACGTTTTCAGTCACCCTTTTCTTATCATTGACAGCATTACATTGATCAGAATAAAGCTTCAGTTTGTGTTGAGACTCTCAACGAAATAGCCAGATTTGATCGTCTAAGGCTGGCCATAAACTAAAATCTAATTGTTGCCAGCAATGCTAAAAGCAGTTGTTTTGTACATTTCGTTAGCCGCAGACAGCTGTTTGCACTCAGGCCTACAGAGGGAGAGATGTGCTGCAGATACCTCTGGCTTGTCATTGTGCTGGCTTGCCATTCAGAAGACCAGAGACTTTCGGCAAGGTTTTACAACTTGTCCTATAACTACTGACCTGATGAGCCTTGGCCCGGCAGTGTCTGCAGGAAGCTCAACGCTATTTTATTGGCCAGATCAGGAAAGCATTCACTAATGTCAATATGCCAAAAGACATTCTCCTATTTGCAGAGCATACATCTTCATGCAGGTACAGGAGCCAGCCTTAGCTCAAGGAACAATGAAGAGCAGCCAGGAAGATCACTGCACTTACAACTGCCTTTTGCCTCTTTCCTGTCATCAGTAGGTCTAGGGGAATATGCTACAATGTCATGGCACCCATAGTCATGCAATTGATCATGATTCATCTCTATGATTATCTTTATTCTCTAAATCTGAGTGTTGAAAAAATTATATCTTGGCTTGTGGGAAGGTCATATTTTGTGATGGTTTATGCAAAAGGTAGGTCTAATGATTTCAAAACAACCAAAAGGTACCTTTAATGAGTGGAGGTATTGTCATATACTGGGTGGTTATCTTGGCCAGGCAGTTTCAGGGTGCTCTTTTGGCAATTTTCCACTAGATTGGAAGAAGATCTATTAAAGTGACACTAAACTCAGGAGCTAAATCTTAGAAATGCATTCAAGTAATGTAACTATTAACAGAAATGTAACCAATTTGTGCATCACTCAGCTGTAGACTCTGAAATCATCTCTGAATTGGTGATGACACTGTCCTTTCTTCTGGAGGGTGGCTACTTTGTTCCCCATGGTCCCTGTGTGTGTTGTAAAGTAGCCACTGCTCCAAGCTCACTAGAACTTCAATACAGATTAGTAAACTAAATGTAAGATTGTAGTCCATCACGGGTGAGAGCTTGGAGCGGTGACTACTTTACAACACACACAGAAACCAATGGGAACAAAAGTAGCCTTTCTCCAGAAGGAAGGACAGTGTCAGCATTAATCCAGAGATGATTTGAGGATCTACAGCCGGTTGATGCACAAATACGCTACATTTTTGTTAATAGTTAGGGCACTTGATTGCATTTTTAAGATTTGACTCCTGAGTTTAGTGTCACTTTAACTATAAGTTAACATTTGATACCATCAGCAGAGGCTTCTCAATAGAAATAGTGATTAGACAGGTTTCGGAACCTTGTTCTTATTGATTTTGTTCCCTCTGATAAGCCAACACCAGAGTGTGTGCAGTCTTCTGCATACCTTAAACAACCCAAGCTGACCGTTTATGTTTAGTGACAGGCAGCCAGCCCATATGCTACTGAGAGCCCCCATAACGTATCTACCCATCATTAGACAGATTTTCTAATAACTGGCCATGTATACAGTGGCAAAAGCTCCTGCTGCTCAACAACTAGAAGTGATTAGACATTAAAAGGTTGAGAACCTGGATGCAGTTGTATTAAGATTAATTTTCACAAATTTTGATTTTTACTCTGATAGGTTTAGCTCTGTGGTTTTATATCTTGATAGCTTTAGCGCACTACTTTTTTTAATATGTATCACATGTAGTCAAAGCAAAACTGGTGGATTGCCTCAGGCGAGGGTCCCCTGCCCACACCTCTCCCCCTCAATTAAGTCAGACAAGCAAAAGTAGGGTTTGGAGGGTTTCTAGAGAGGTAACAAGGCAAAGACCATGTATATATATAAAACATATGTCAATAGTTTATTGTACACACAACTCATAGTTTAAAAATGAATCCAGTAGGTTAAAACATTTACAGTCCATGCATGTAGATTTATGCAGTCAGGATAGTGGAGCTATCCTTCAGTTAGTTTCCAGATAATAGTCTGGCGTACTTCATCCCGACGCGTTTCGCCAATGGCTTCTTCAGGGGATCGGTGTATATATTGATCTAGCATTAGAAAGAGATTTTCTTGCATAGAATTATTCTCTCAATGTATGGTCACATAGGGCATATAGCAACATTGCACAGTGTATAGCTCCTACTATCAAAGCTAAACTGCCGTCATTTTCCTGAGCAATTACTTCAAATCTTTTTTCGGTTTTCCACAATACTGGGAACTGATTGTATCACATGTAGATATAGCAGAGCAGCTTAGTTTACATTAGTGGTAGTTCAGTCTTTACCACAGAATAATTTTTAAAATTAGGTACCTCGGCTTATATTCGGGACGGCTTATACTCGAGTATATACGGTATGTAATATAAGAATCCACATACCCATCCTCATACAACCACTTTTACAGATGTACAGTACATAAAACAGACATGTGGACTAGCAGCTATAGCTTTAAGATTTAGCAATATGTGCATACAACTCTGACAAAGTCATTATTGTACAGATGCATAGACGACTAGCAAGCATTCCTAGAAGACACACTTTCCTGAAGAATCACAAAGATTGCTGCTTCCATTCAACCATCCCCCAAAAAAAATCAGATAAGAGGTTGACAAATATACTGCCACAGTTCCTGTATCTTAAAGCAGAGGAGACCATGGACTGCTGTGACTCTGCAACAGAGATGTCAGTATAGCAGGACACTAACTGCACTTGCTAATGATATAATATTTCAAATATATTTACATTTGGTAACTGCTGATTTAAATATTTACTGGACCGAGTATCCAGAAATTCCATCTGCTGCACCTTTTTTCCCCTACAATCAATTTTTCCGTGACAACCAATGATTACATCTATCAAATAATAGTTATTATAGTTTTTCTTCAACTAATTTCTTACCACAGTACAGAAAATGCAGCTGCAGTCCCGAAGGGTGGTCATCATATCAAGAGGGTGTTCACAGAGACACAGCTTGCACATAATTAGGGGTTCCAGTGCCAATTCTCCATGGCTTGAATTGCCAGTCATCATGGTGTGATGAAGGATCTTTGCAGCAGAAGCCATACTTGCTTTAGTAAATCAACATTCCTACCTGTCAGAATAGAAAGAAAACGATTGTTTATTAACCTACTGTAATTACAAATCTAGTGTAAAACAGTATTACAAAGCAATCGATGCATTGTTATAATACAAATGATCCTGATCCTATGCATCACTCTCATTAGATGTAGAACTCTCCACTAAACATACTATAAATATTAAAATATGCACACTTGATCTTTGTTTTATTGAAGCTGAATCTGGGCAGTGCACTCACAATTTCTTCAAGTTCTGCTGTACATGTGTTCAGCCACTGAGAAATCCCCACTTGAATATAGCAACAACAACAACAAAAGCTATTTTCTCTTAATTTCCATTCAGTAAGACCAGTGGCTGCTATGTCCTCCATTCCCCTGGCCGCAGTGGCAGATGGGACTTGAAGAGTTTTCATTTACAGATCTTGTATAGGGCTCTGTGTGAGTAAATGGCATAGCTGCACAGGCAGAGCCAAGTTCAAATGTATCAGAAACCTGCAGGGAGAAGAACTCCCTGCTTCAGGTAAGGAGGGGGGGGTGTATGTGACCATATTTCATGTTACACCCTAAATATGGGTGTAACATAGAGCCTGTTCACTAAGGTAAACTTAGCCTTTACAGATGCTTTCGAGGAGGATATTTGCTTGTCAACAGGCATCCTTCCCTCAGCTCATCGTGACTTCTATGAGATATTAGAATTGCACTGTATGAAAAAGTAGAAGTTGAGGCACTCACAAGTCTTGCAGCAGTAAAAATTAGAAAGAACAGCAAAAGGTTTTTGTGTCCGATGTTTTGATGCTCTGTAGATGAAGTGTGCAGAGTGCTTACTTAATTTGCTTATTGATGCTTAAAATAAGCAATATGGACACTTCAAAAGTTGGAAATGGTTTAAGTTTCTTCGTAACAATCAGTACCCGCTTGTGGGGTTTCGGCAGTCTCTCGTTGATAAGTTCATATGCCAAAAGCATCCAAAGCATACTTATATAGACAAACATATATCATTGCAATAGCACAAAGAATCCAACATGTGCTCAGAGTCATAAGTGCTAACTCAAAAAAGCAACAAATGTTGACAAAGGCAGGAAAGCACTGCCAGCCATCAATGTGAAACAAGTAGTACCGTCCTCACAGATTTTGCTCTTCATCAAACAGATTGTCTAAACATAGAAGCAAATCCTGTGATCAACAAACAATATAGTCTCACCATGTGATGTTGTCCATAACTGCAGTACACATCAAATGTTCACGCTATATGGTGTAATTGTGAAAGAAGGAAAATTACATCAGTATCTGTATTGTATTGACTCTAACTTCACACCTGATATCTTAACCATTGGAAGTGTGGGAAACTCTCAAATATGTGATTCTGGGCTACATGATTCATGTTTGATTTCATGATCAAACAAGAGCGGTCTCAGGAAGCGTACACCATCTTATCTCAAATATCCAAATTATATGCAGCAACAAAAAGTCCCTAGCCCAATCTCTGGCCACCCAGCTCAAAACACTTAGGCAACAACTCTGCTACTCTGTAAAATTAAGGCCTCCCAACATAAACTCAAATGCTACATATACGAACATAGCAATAAACCAGGCAAAATGTTGGCCAGGGCTCTCCACAAAACTAAACTACCCTCGTATTTTCCTTGTATAGATCCCCATAACAGTGGTCCTCAAGTCTACAAAGAAGCCGATATAGCAAAATGTTTCATGGAGTACTACAAGGAATTATACAACATCCATTCACCTAATTCTCCATCTCATGACAGTGACCACTCTCTCTTCCTATAAATGCAATGTTACATTAAAGACTCAGACCTCCCCATTCTCTCTGAAAATGAGAGGGATACCCTGGAACGACCTATTACAGATAACGAATTACTTGCTGCCCTCTCCTCGTCCATGAAACCCAACAAAGGCCCTGGACCGGATAGCTTAACATTTTATTACTACAAGACCTACACAGCATACTTGGCAAGGAGTTTGTCAGATCATAAAATGACATAAGGAAAACAGGGGACACTCAGTATACTCAAATCTCGGTAATTACCAAACCAGGGTAAGACCTCTCTCTATGCTCTAGTTATCGACTGATTTCCTTACTGAACACAATCTTCACCAAAATCCTCTACAACAGACTTCTACCACACATCACCATATTAAAAGAAAATGATCAGGGGGTTTTCCCTTCCAACCATAAGATAACATCGCGCGCCTTGTAAACATCATTAGTGGCTCTACCTCATGTGGGATCCCCGTAGTGCTAATCTTTACCAAATGTTAAAGTATTTCACAGGGTAAATTGGATATTCATGGAAGTGACAATTCAATACATTGGCCTGTAAACGCATATGTTTCGCTGTATCTACTCTCATCCAACATCTGCAGTGATTGCTAACAACTGTCTGTCTGATCACTTCCTACGAAACAGCACCCACCAAGGCTGCCCCCCTCCCTGCTAATATTTACTCTCACCCTCAAACTGTTACTAAGGTATATTAGGGACAACCTAAACATTGCAGGCTACTCTGCTGACACAAAATAGCTGCTTATATCAATTAGCTACACTTTTTCATAACCAAACCAGAAACCCCCCTGCTAAACCTGCTATCGGAACTGAACAAATGTGGAGATTTATCATACTTCAAAGTCAACATCCAGAAATCCCACCATAGTCCTTAGTTATCTGAGCATCCAAGTTACCCCAACGATTGCACAGATGTTTGAGGCCAACTTCCCAACCTTTCTATCCAACATCCACAAAGATCTTAAACGCAGGTCCATTAAATACTTTTCCTGATTTAGCAGGAACAATATCTTAAAAGTGAACATACTTCCCCATTTCCTATACCTAATCCAAACCATTTAAAATCATATCCCTTTTCAATCCCTACAGATACTATGTAAAGTATTCCTTCAATTCCTACTGACCAAGCATTACTAATGCTGCCCAAATCTGAGCAAGGCATAGGATTTCCTGATTACTTAATCCCTCTCACATCGCCAAAATACTGGACTGATGTAGAATCTCCACCATAAAAAACAGTTTTTTCTAGAAGACTTTACACCTACCCTGCTGGCAGTCCTCCTGTGACTTCCTAGACGTCGAATATATCACCCAACCCTTAATACATGTAATTCTACGTGCCCATCAATCTATTCCTGTAAACTAATTTCCTGGCCAGAATCTTCTGGCATGTTTCTGATAATAGGCAAAGCCAGATTTGCTCCCATCTGCCAGGACCACTAATTCTCCTTGTTTGTTCATGCAGAACAATTGAGACTACTCAATTTATCTACCAGAAATTATGCCAAATCCACCCCTGACATCCAGTAGATGTCATCCCCCAACTGACTTCTGGAAGGCTATGCAGATCAGATGCTTACTGACCTCCACCCTGAAACCCCCATGGTACTCCCATGTCCTCTTTTGACCACCCACGCCTGGAATGAAAAACTGTTAGGCAAAACCACTCCCAAAAATATTCCCTTCAGACCCAAGTGTCACAAGATTTCACCCCACATTATATCATACACTGGGAATGGGACCTAGGTTATCTCTGACCAAAGACCAACAGAAATGCATCATTCACTACGCCCATTAAGCATCCATCACCAAAAAGGCCCACAAGGCAGGCTACAAATTACTATCCAGGTGGTACCTAGTCCCTCAGAAACTATACAAGATCTTGCACTATGCACATGCTGGTCTTGCAATCAAGGCACTCTCCCTCACATCTGGGAATCAGTGTTAGTTTTGCTGACAAAATATTTTCATTTTTTTCCCGTCATTTGGCTGTTTGTCCGTGACGAAAACAGAGCAAAAACGAAATACTAGAGCAGTTAACAGGATGAAAACAATGACGAAAATTCGGCAATAGTACAAAAAACTAAATGAAAATCGGACGTACGATTGCATGACAACTTCCAGTTCCCTGAGCTCTTCCTCATCGTGGCAGAAGGCAGACGTGCACAATTCAACATACTGATCTACCCAGCAGGACACCAGCTAACACAGCACTTGCTGCACAGCTACAGCCACAAACTGTACAGAAGACATGTCAGCAGGAAGAAAGAGAAGAGAAGATGTATGGATGCATTTTACATTTGATGCTGACGAGAACAAGACTCTTTGTAACCATGTGGAGCATGGTTACTAAAAAAGACCAGTAAACTTACATTGAGATGCATAATGTTACTATGGGAATAGTGAATTGCAGTAACAACTGTTCTTAGTCTCTGTTCTTAGTGCGATATTTACCTTTTTTGTCAATACTGAGAGAAAGAGAGGAATTGATAAGAGCAATGATCTTTCATGCACTAATGGCATTGTAGCCTGTGACCTTTTTCTTTGAAGGTATTTGAGAATTAGAATAGTCAGCTGATTGATTCGTCCTCTAGATATAAGCATAACCCATCAGTATGGGTTTTATTATACTGTGGCTGTGCTAGCTGCAGAAACGTTTTGTGGTGTTGAGTAACTTCCTTGATACTTGCTTGCATGATTAACAGAGAACTGTTAAAGTTTTATATTCAGGTAATATGTACAATGGCGTTAAAGTCAATAAAGTTGTTTTTTTTAATAAAGTTGCATGTTTGTTTGTGAAAAACGAATATACTTGCTTTTTTTATGAAACTTGGTATTCATTTTCAGATAAATTAAGACGTTCTATATCACAACGGCTAAATCTGTGCCTATATTGCATGTTCAAACCTTAATACCATAAATAATAACAGGTTAATAGAGGTTTACTCCAGGAATATATCATGAAATGAGTTTGGAAATTCTAGAGAATTGTTTAAAATTTTAATAATGCATTACACTAAAAATAAACCCACTAGATTTTAGTCGATTAAAATCGACTGGAATTTGCGCTAGCTAAAACCAAAATTATTCAGATGATTAAAATCCGACTAAAAACACATTTTTGTCAAAAGACTAAAAGTAAGACTAAAATTAAATTTGCTGTCAAAATGAACAGTGCCCTTTACTACGCCTATTTAGGACTAAAGTCTACA